TCCAGAAAGGTATCTACCCATCTATACAAATACAGTTTATAACACTGTAAGCTGACAGTCAACAGCAAGACTACACACTCACTTAAGTAAGCATTTATTAGAGAACCCTTTAACATGAAATTATACAAATAAAAGTTTGTATAAACACAAGCCCACATTGTGTCATGACATGAATGGCAAAAGGAAAATAAAAATCATAAAAGAAAACTAGCTGGCCACTATGTACAGTTGGACACAGTTGCGTGTCGGACACTAAAAGTCTTTTACAAAATAGTCATTTCCTCTCACGAAGAACACCCTCTATTCACTCACGATGCGCTGCACGATGGCTTTGTTGCAGTATCTCTACCTAAAAATTAAGACAAAATGTATGTCAGATCTGTGCAAGTTACTACAAGAATCGTTAAAAGGTCCATTTTCATGAACTGCTTTAAGTCTTCTATATATTCCTTTCTTCACTGTTAAAGATCATATACATATTTATTTAGGTAACGCAATAGGTTTTGTTACCCATCAAGTAATTTATCTTCCCAAATACAGCCATCCAAGCCCATTTAGGAAGCTGCTCCAGAACATACATCCAATTTAGGCTTATTAATAAGGCTCTGGATCAGTTTGGTTTTTTCCCCCACTGTAAACAGTGACAAAAGGTTTTCAATTATTTATCCATCTAAATGACTGCTATGCAAATGCAAATCAGGTCAATTTAGTTCAAACAGTCCACACGCATATGATCTTTAATGTTTTTCCAGATTTAAAAGTTCGTTTTGGTTTGCAGATTTCACTATTAGCTATAAAAAGAAAAAAGCAAGCATTAAATTTTAAAGAATGCACACTTTAAAATGAGGTTCCACAATTGAAATACAACACTAAACAGAAGACCAAATGATTAAGCTGTAAAGGCATTTATGTACTTTAACTCCTGTAAAAAACCATTTAAGTTAAAGACACTTAATCTCCAAAAAGATTAAAAAAAGAAGCCAAAGTCTGAAGTTTTCCACTTTAATCTTTACGCTGGTACATGAAGTTGGAAGAGACCATACCACAGGACAGCGTTTTCTGGTGTATGCCTTGCGCTCTGCCTGCAACGTGCGACCCCAGAGATAGACGTGGTCAGGGTGACACACGGCCTGCAATGAAGTTCCCGCTGGCGGGTACAAACAAGGTATAATGTCAGAGTTAGAAGACAACATTCTTGTTTTCCTTAAGTTGTACCCATTTCAGTACTTTACCTGTTAATACTTTAATAAGTTTAATTATTCCTCTAGACCACCTGGTACACAACGCAAAACCAGAAAAACTCTTATGTTTTTCTGAAGTACTAGAGAAGATAGGTCACATTTTTACAAAGTTAAAGATCTATAGACACTGTAGGCAAAGCTGGCTTTAAAAAAGAAAGTGTATTTTTTAAGTTAAAAAAAGCTTAAAGTCATGCTATGCAAGTTTTTTACTCTTCATTTGTCTATTGATCTTTAAATTAGATTAGACATACTCAGTGTAAACCTTGCATTTATATACACACCTGTTTCCTCAAGTACTAAACACTGCTTCAGTACGGCTGGTAGTTGTTTTGGTGATTGCCGCCACCACGGGATGCCTTTCCGTATGCGCTTTGCTGACCTGTAGATAAAATTGGGGAGAAAAAAAAAACAAAAGAACAACACAGAAGCATTAACAGCCAACACTCTGAATGAGATTGTCCCCATACAGTACATGAAGAGGGATGCTCTTCATAGTCATATGTTAGTAAGAGGTGTAACAGAACAAGTTACTAGAAGAGGCACCTGTTTAAAAACGCATGCTATTATCTGGAATGAGATCAAAACCACTTACCACTGTAATCTGTGTATCCTGGCCCATATCCATAATTGGGATAGTTGTACCCGGAGTAGTCATAGCCTCCATAGCCACTGTAGCTTTGATCACTGTAAGCACTATTATAGTTCCCGTATCCTTGATCGTAGTAGTTATTAAATCCTTGATTCCAGTTTTGTCCCTGACCTGAAACCAAGTATAACATTTAGAAGTGATAGAACTTACAATTTCATTCTGTGCTATGCCACTTCATCCAGATTTCTATGGCAATCTTTCTATGCCAAAACTACTACCTGGAAGAATCCTCTTACTCTCCCCCCAAAGAAAAATCTTCTAAGAACTGAGGTGTCTCATTTGGATATGAGATAGGTTTAAGATCTTTTCACCCACAACAACATTAGTCACAGACAGCAGACAGTCCTGCTCACAGAACAGCCAATAAAAACAAAACAACACCGAAGTCACGCACTACAAGCAGCTTCTACTGTTTTCTTGTAACTTCCATTTTGGACCCTTAATTGCCTAAACACCAAGTTATATCAAAGGACAAACTTTACCATATCATGTTGGCTGTGACTGCTTGACTTTGAGATGTATTAACCTACACAAAAACCAGCTGATTGTTTCTCATCTATCTGCAAGGCACAGCAAAGCAACTGTCTTCCTCTTCAGCAAGCAGGTCATGGTTTCTCACCCATAAGCCAACTATCAGTGTATCCCTTCACGTGAAGGGATAACTGCATTATCCATTTAACTATGCTGTCAATTGTGGGTATACAAAAGCACCCTACCTCCAGCTTGCAATTTCACCACTTGAATGCAAACAGAGCAGAAAGAGTTTCTTGAGCTTCCACAGTCGCAACCACCAAAACACCATTTACTAACAGGCTGCTTTCCACATTGAGTTTAAACATGAAATCTGCATGCATCCAAAATCTGGACTGTCTAAAAATACTTTAGTGTTTGGTACATACACTTACACATTTACCTTAATTTCAACATCCAAAATACTCACCTCGTCCACGCCCCCTTCCACCTCCTCGTCCACCAGCTGTATTGCTCTTTCCTCCTTTCTGCTGCTGCTGCTGTTGCCTGTATACCTCTTTGGGCTGTGCTACTTTGATCTCACACTGTAAAAACAGGAATTCTTTAACTCGCCAAGAACGTGAAGATCATTATGCGAGCTGCTTTCAGGGAAGCCTGTAACATTTCACATACTAAGAATGACAGCTCCCATACCTTGCCTGAACCAATTTGATGGTATCTGCTCTCTAGCAGCTTCTTTACTGGCTCTTCATCTGTGTACGTGATAAAACAGAAGCCTCTCCTTTCATTTGTCTTTGTGTCCATGGGAAGCTCAATGTTTTCAATCTGAAATCAAAAGTCAATAATGCATGAAATCGGTAAGCAACTTTTTATGCTACCATCTGGCAGTCCAGGGGCTATGCTGACAGCTTTTAATCAGCCCACCACAACACTATGGAATCATTAACGTGCATATAGTTTCAACAAACCCTAGTTCTATGTAAGCCTAAGCCACCTCCTTTGTCATAAATTCTTCTGTCTTAAACAACTGCACTTAAAAACCAGAACTGTTTTTATATTTTATGTCGTTATACCATACCTCGCCAAAAGCACCGAAGTACTCCTTTATCTGTTCCTCAGATGTCTCTGGACTCAACCCACCAACAAACACTTTTTTTGGTGGCTCCTTCCCTTTTAAGGCTTTTGCCCTTTTAGGATCTATTAACTTCCCATCCAGTTTGTGTTCCTTCAGTTCCAACACCTAAGCAACACACAAAGAGACAAGAGTCAGATCACTACAGTGACAGAGGCATGCTGTGTGCCATCGATCCACAAGAAATACACCCACCTTCTCCACACTGGCAGCGTCCTTGAAGAGGACAAACCCAAATCCCCTCGACCTTCCAGTGACCGGGTCCGTTTTAATCGTACAATCCACAACCTCGCCAAAACGAGAAAGATACTCTGTCAAATCTTTCTTGCTCGTGTCCCAGCTGAGACCTCCAATAAACATTTTCCTGAAACGCAGGAAATACACAAGCGTAAATACAAGTGTATGCACACACGCGCGCGCGCACACACACAGAGAGCAAACCCAAGTATGGAGCAAGCCGACTCGTGGCCGCCATAAGCCAAAGGCGATCCGGATGCCTTTGCAGCATCAGGCACCGCAAGCGGCTCAGGGCCGTAGCGGCTGCTGGGCCCGGACGCGCCGTTACACGTGGGCCGGATCTACGCGTCCCTCCCCTCCCCGAGCCCGCCAGAAGCGCACGCCCCCATAGGCTGGCAGTGACGTCACGCACCCTGATTGGCAGCCCCCCCTCCTCGCCCCACGGAAACTGGGTCAGACTCTCAGGACACAAAGGCGGGTGCGGCCATTGGTGTGGGAAGGGGGAGGCCCCGCCCCGTTCCCCCCCCCCTCCCCCCAGCTCCCTCAAGCCATCTCCCGCCCCACCCCACCCCCCCCACCCCCACCCCGCGCGGCCCAGGAGGGCGGGCGAGGGATATAAGAGACGCGAGCCCCCCCCCCCCCCCCCCCCCCAGCTTTACCCGTCATCCTGCTGGTTCTTGCTCGCGTTGATCTTGGAGCCCTCGGCGAACTCCTCCTGGCCGCTGCTCATCTCAGTCGCGTCCTCCATGGCGGGGCGAGAGCGGCGGAGCTGCTCGGGCGGGCGGCGGAGACAGCGGAGACCCGCGCGCAACAGAAAATGGCGGCGGAAAAGATCCGGGCGCCGCCTGCGCCGCCTTTATATAGGCGCCCCAGCAGCCAATCAGCGCTTCCCTCTCCTCTGGGGCCGCAGCGCCTCTGGCGGCTTCCGGTGGGGCTGCAACACCCACCCGCCATCGGCGGCCGGGCCCCCCCACGTATCACCGGCAGCTCCGGGCGTGGCGCCGGTACAACCTTGCCTGCCGTGGGGTACGGAGCGCGGCGTGCAGCCGCCAGCACCACCCGCCTCGCCCCTCTGCTGCTCCACGCTCCTCTGGGTCGAGGCGGGGGTCGCTGCTTAGGCGGCCCAGGGTTTGGATCAGGCGGACTCCGGGGCTGGAAGGTGGTGGTGGGGGTAACGTGCAGCCCAGTAAGCCCGTTCAGGAGGCGGCGGGGCGGGGCGGGCGCTCCGAAGGCGGAGCACTCTCTGTCGCCGAGGACCCGCCGTCGCCGCACTCTCCTTTCACGATCCGCGGCGGGTCAGCTCGGCACTGCCTGCTACGGCCCGGCCCCCCGCGCAGCCGCAGGGCGGGGCGCCGGCCGCCGCCGCGCATCCCCGGTACTCCCCACGTGCCGCCGCTGCCACAGCCGCCATGGGTGTGCTGCCGGTGCCGGCGGAGGTGCGCGCCATCCTGCTGGACATCGAGGGCACCACCACCCCCATCGCCTTCGTCCAGGTGAGACCCGGCGGCGCGGGAGGCAGCGGCCCTGGTTATTGTGGCCTTCACGGCCCCCCGTAGCGGGGAGAAGCCTCTCCGGGGGCTGTGGAAGGCAGGCCTGAGCTCACTACAGAGGCGTAAAACCGTGACACGTTTTCCGTGTTTTCTGAATAATGCTCGATGAGAAAATGCTTCTCGTTATACCCATCGCATGCCGCTTCCGGGGGCAGGGAAACAGGGGGCTGCTCCGTTTAGTAAATGAGGGGGGGAGGGGGTATATAGAGCAGTCAGAGTGCTCTCAGCCTCGTTTACAAAAAGCCCTAGAGCATCACTTGCTCTGATGGCTGGAGCTCAGCACCTCACCCGAGCTTGCAGAGAGCCTGAAGTACTGTGTGTTTATCCATCCGCTGCCTTTTTCCTTCAGAAACGTGGTACAGTCACATCCCTCTAGTGTCACCACAGATGGTGTGTCCTTCGTCCTGCATGCACGGGACCAGCACAGGGAGAGGGTAGCCAGGCATCAGGAGTACATGAGGAGGATTGTGCTCACAGTATGTGTGACTGGCTTCCTCTGCCTAGGAGGAGGCTTAAGACTATTGAAAATGCTGGATGAGGTGCAGAAGCCAGGGGGGTGGAAGCCCGCGAGACCAGCAGGAGGCATCAGGACAAACGCTGTAAACATGCAATTGAAATTCTCAGTTCTCCAACCGCTGCAGGTCCCTCCTCTCCAAGAGGCTTTGGTCCCCAACCAGGCTCGTCTGCTTCACAGGAGGGAGCAATTTGCTCGTATTTAAGACACTAAAGGACACTATCCCTGCGGCAGCCATAACCCTGTATTTCTCATGAGACATTACAGCTTTTGATGGATATTTTTTTGCTGGTAGTTCATGGAAGGTTCTTTTGACCCACATAATGCACAGAGGGGTGTAGGCTTTTGCCAGGTTTTCGAGGTGTTTGTGCTAACACTTTAACAGATGAACAACATGACCTACATCTTTCCTGTCCCATGTTCTTCCAGTGCTCTTGAAACTTCAGGTCTAGATGGCATTACAGCTGCCTCCTTCCCTCAGTATCTTTTAATTAAAAGTTTGAACAGCTCAGACATCTAATGGAGCCACAGGGTTGTTTACATATATCCACTTTGAATCCATTTTGCTGTTGTGCAGATACATGCAATACGCCTGAGATGGTTTCCTACCCAAAGTCTTTCTGTTGCAGGAAGGCCAAATGAGTTATAGCTCTCAATAAAACTCAGTTTGCTGGGTATCTGAAGATGCTCAAAAGTTATTTCACTTGGATTTTCAGTTAACCTCCACAATTTCTATTTCCCTTTAAAAGTTCCACTGCTGGTTCTGCAGGCATTTTATTCCTTAAAGGATTGCATTTCATCCTTTCTTTAGTGTCAGAATTATTGAATATGCAAAGTAGGGAAATAGAATGAGCCAGTTGATGGATGGATTGAGAAAAGATAGCAGGAAGGAGAGTATTTGATGACCCCTAGTTTTCGCTTTTGCTGGGTCCCCTTTGGCAGAGAAAGGATTTCAGGGGAGAGATGTAATGTGATAAACAGCATCCCCTGGGATTTGCTGGATCTCGTGTAAAAGAGCAGACTGTGACTGAACTTTGTCTGCATGTTGCTTGAAATCCTGCGAGCACTCATTACAGTGTCCTACCTGCAGTTCTACTGATAGGGAAGATACAACCCTTCGTATACTGGTTGTAACATTGCTGTGAGCAGTTGCAAAGGTTTCGGGGGGGGGGGGGGGGGGGGGTGGGGTCAGGGTGTGCTTGCTTATGGCTGTTCCTTCATCCCACCGAGCTGTGTTGAGGCAGCCACAGCTGGGGCTGGCTATCACTGAGGAGCCCTCTGCAATTTAAGAAGTAGTTTTAAAGCAACTAAGCTCAAGTGAAGAAAATGAGGGAGTAACTGGGGGTATTGCAGGGCTGTGGTCATTTTCTAGGCATTTAAGAGATTTTTCCTTTCTCCTAAATTTACATTAGTTTTTAAATATACAACATGGAAAACACAGCATTAGAGTAATAGAAAATCCTGCAGTTCTGCCACCACATGACGCTCTCAGGACCACCATTTTCTTAATTCAGTAACAAGTGAAAGCTGACATACAGTGAGGAGAAAGACATCCCTGATCATTTTCTGTGGAGAGGTGAGCTCAGGTTAGTTTCTTCCCACCTCCTGCCCATTCCAGACTTCTCAGTTAGGAAAAGCTCGGTTCTGTACTCAAAGGAAGGAGCTCCCAGCCCCTCCCCTTGTCCTGAGGCTCTTCCCACACCAAGAGATGCCATCGTGGCTTCTCAGTTGTGAAACACTACTAATGAGAGCAATTTGTAGTTATTTCTGGGTGCTCTGGGGATCTCCAGGAAGGTCTGTAATTCTCCTGTGGCACTTTTTCCCTAACCCCATTTCATTTCATTTACAATAGTGTCCTATGGAGCTCAGTGTCACTAGTCTAGATTTTTCCTTTGGAAAAGGTCCTCTAACCCTTGTGAGAAGTTGAGACATGTTTTCAGAACAACCTTTGCTAGGACAAGTGCCCCATTAAAAGTACTGTAATATAAGTTACAGAGAATACACACAGCCAGCCTTGTACTCCTCAGCTGATGGGAGCTTGGGAGTCGTGTCTGCCTATTTAAGTCATGTTTTTGGCAACCCCGGGAAAAGTTGTCACCCACCTTTCCATTCCGGGATGTAAAAGCTACAGCTGCATAAGTATTTGTGCAAGAAATCCACCTGCACTAATCTTTGCTTAAAGCTGGCTCTTGCCTGCAGTGAGCAGACACCCTTGGCTGGCAGCTTCACAAGCTGTAGTACTGTAGTGGAAGCTCATGCAGGGAAAAGTAACCATACACACCAGCATGTGCAAGCAGTTGCCTCAAAAGCAAGTCATCCTTACCTTTGCCAGGTTAAAGGCGCTGCCTGTTTTTCTTGTGTGCTGCCAGGAGACCTTGTTCCCTTACATCAAGGACAACGTGAAGGAGTATCTGCGTGCTCACTGGGAGGAGGAGGAGTGCCAGCGGGACGTCGGACTTCTGAGGAAACAGGTCCAGTAACAGCTGTTCTGTGTCTTTCTGGGGCTTCACAGCATGCCTCAGAGTTCAGGTCACTCAGACTCCCCCAGTCACGCAACAGGAGTCTGGGGTTGTGCTTAGGGAAGGGCTGGTGCTTGGTAGGCAGCAGCTCAGATGCCTGCCTTGGTCTTCACAGCCCCTGAGAGTGGGAGTCAAACCAGGGCTTTTCAGCTGTGTGTCTGCACTGTGCTCTTCTCTTGCTGAATTTGCTGCCTGTGGCTTTCAGATGCCTGGTTAAGAAGCAGCAGGGAGGGATGGCAGAGTACTTGTCCTGCACAGGACAACATATCCTGCCTCTGTACAGGGACATGGCATCAATTTGAGATCAGGGGCTGTCTGAAGCCAACAGATAGGTTTGCTTCTTTGCCTTAATTTCAGTAATCAAATACTTAAGCAAGTATAATTCTCATTATTATTTGCAGTAATACAGCTACAGTAGTGCTAATTGTTGGGCTTGGAAAGTACAGTCCAAGCAAGTATTTCTAGACATTATGGAAGTCTGAGTTTCCCATTGAGAGAAGCATTCAAACAGTGTTGTCACCCTTCATGTGAAGAGCAGTTCAAGCCGTGTCCTGCAATACCCCTTTCCTGAACTGAGATGATGAGACTGCTCCATCTCTTCCCTCACCTCTTTTTATCATGGATTATTTCCAGGCTCAGGAGGATTCTAGCTTGGATGGAGCCGTGCCAATCCCTTTGGAGAGCGGAAGTGGGGAAGAGGAGCTGGAGCGGGTCATCCAGGCAGTCGTAGACAACGTGCACTGGCAGATGTCTATGGACAGGAAGACCACAGCACTGAAGCAGCTTCAGGGGCACATGTGGAGGGCAGCCTATGCAACTGGGCTTGTCAAAGGAGAGTAAGTAACTGTGTGATCTTTTCCCTGGGGCAGGAATGGGGTGCATCTGTGCTAGATGTCTGTTAACAGAATTACCACCTCAGTGGAGAAGCCAACACATTTGACACTTCACTTCAAACTTGATCATGCAATGAACACTAATCCATTCTTTGGATCTTAGGCAACCAAAAGCTTGGAGTAATCCTGGGACTGACCAAGTTGTCTCAGTCCCTACTGGAAAGATTACAAGTGGGTGAGAACGTTTCTCCTTAAGGAATAAATGGCAGGTACATGCTGGAGAACAGCCAATTCTCCAGCCACCTGGGCAGTGTCTGTAAAGGAGATAGGGCCTCAGAAGGTAATGAGGGCATGACATGGGCGATTCTGCTTCCACAACCACCAGAATATTACTCTGGGACAACTATCTTCTGCATTAGGAATTCAGAAAATGTCTCAATATTTCTATACAGAGATCTCTTGGTAAAGCAGGAGAATGAGGCGCAAGCATGACCTTCTTGCAGTTCTCTGTATTGCATGTGATATTCCTGAATTACACTCACATTTTGGAACAAGCCTAAAAAAGCCAGGGTTGCAGGGTTGGGTCCCGTTGTTATTTCCTCCTGCTTTGTCTTTTACCTGTGTGTTTCCTGCCTTTCCACTTCTGTTTATCTTCAGGCTTCTCTTTATGTTTCAGCCACATCACAAGGGTGCATAAGTAGGGACAACTGGAGTTAAGCCTTTCTTATTTAGGTTGAGAGATGCTTGGTTAAACTATCCATTTCAAGTTCCTAAGGAAGTAAACCAAACTCTGAAGTTCACGAAGTGTTTTGCCAAAGGAAGAATGAGGAAGAAGAAAAAGCTCACAGAAAATGTAAACATCCATGAGAAAAAGCAACAAAACCCAAAAGCAAGTCGAGAGGAACAGCCATCCTGTTGGGTGGCTTTTAAACAGCAGGGCTAATTGTCTTACAGTGGCCCAAAAACTGTGGAACTAGCCTTGCTGCTTGGCAGCATCCAAGCAGTGAGATCTTTAAAATCACCTTCTTGCTCAACTGTAGCTGGCACATCAGTGTCTGAAATCCAGATGCTCAACTCAGCATATGAAGACATGAGGGTGGATGGGAGTTTTTGCAGGTGTTGTACAACACATAGTTTCAGCTGACACCAGAGACATTTGATAAATAACTATGAAAAAAAATGAACTTTTTTTTAATACATAACATAACAAGGCTCTGAGCAGATGGCCAAGAAACTGAGGATGAAGAAAGGGCCAGCTGATTGCTACAGGTCTGCAAAACTCATTCCTTTTGCATCTAATGGGAGCCCTCCTTCAGGTGCTCAGATCCTCTTTTTAAGGCAGTAAAGTGTCCCCAAGTAGCCACATGGAGCTGTGCAATGCAGGTAGAAAGGCTGCCATTCGGACTGGGGTGAAAATGGTTCCCTGGGTATCATGTCTCCTCCAGCTCCTCTCCTCATCCTTCTGCCATATCAAACTCAAACCCCCTCCCTACCATTCCAAGGCTGTTTGTGGCCTTTCCCTATCAAACATCAAGTGTTTTACTGAGGGACTTACTGTCAGCCTCACTTTGTCCTTCTTGAGCATCCTCAAGCTTTCACTTTCTCCCAGTACATGTGTCATCTTGTAAATGTCTTTTGCATGCAAAGAGCTTTTACATACTATAAGTGCAGCACTGGAGAGGCCTCATGGTATAAATGAGAAGGGTACGAGGAAACAGACAGATATGTCCATTAGCATTTACACAACAGTTACCTTGGCTTTGGTTGTCCTTCCCTCTGCTTTGCTCCCAACTGCTGGGCTTGTCTTTGGGCAGCTATTACCCACAAGTTAGACAGAGCTCATGTTTTTGAGACTCATCAGCCCATTGCTACACTTGTATCTTGCTTCCCCAGCACACTGCAAGGCTGGAAGAATAAGGGGAAGGATGCTGCTGCCTAGTGAACAGGAGCTTTTTCGCCCTTTACAGTGCAGTTAAGGCAGGGATCTGGCCTAGTACTGTACAACCTGACTGAGCTGCTGAATAGAATAGCTCTGTTCTCAGTCCCTTAGGGGGATATTCCTTTCCCAAGCTGTTGTTTGCATTCAAACAGTTCATGCAGTGCCACTCAGTTTAGCTTCTCCGCTGCAACCTTCTCTCAGCTCCTCCCTATGCATGGACAGAGCCTGAATCTGTGGGTTATGTTTGTCCCATATGGATGCAGCTTATGGCCACAGTTCTTACCAACAGGAAGCCTTTGTAGCTTGCAAGCAGGTGGGGCTCAAGATACAAGAGCCTGTTTTCTCTGTCTCCCCCCTTATTCCTCCCTTGCAGAGAAAAGCAGTGGGATACCGTTTTCCCCAACCTTTACTCCCCTCTATAAATTGAAGGGGCTGGAGAAGCTTCTGCCAAATGTCTGAAATGGCTCATCAGAGCTGCTGTCTGCATAACAGTCAATGAGCTGCTCAGTTGGCTGGAGCTAAGACTATTTCACCTGCTGCTTGAAATACACTCCCCAGCTGCAGGAGTCTTGAGCAGGTTGAGAATGAAGTCCCTTTACAAACTAACAGGACATTTATCAGGGCAACTGGATAAAGGTATCCCTCTGGGTACCTCTGGGTTTACCCTTACCTCCTGCCCTGTTTTGCTCCAGGATCTTCGAGGATGTGGTTCCAGCTATCCGGAAGTGGCGGGAAGCTGGGATGAAGGTCTATATCTACTCCTCGGGCAGCATTGAAGCCCAGAAGCTTCTGTTTGGCTATTCTACAGAAGGTGATATTCTAGAGGTAGATAACTTTATCACCTTCCTTACAGCTTCTCCCTCTGCAGAGCACTTCCCTTGCTGTAACACTGCATGGATAACTTCCTGCTACAGGAAGGTGGGGCAGTGGGTTTGACCTGCAGTTCAGCCATCACCCCCTCTTACTGTGGTTGAAAGGAAACGGGATGTCTCACTCAGGAGTGAGGTTTAGCCCTGCTCTTCAGGTGGCACTCAGCAAGTGCCTTTGCTTTTCTCTCTTTCAGCTCTTTGATGGCCACTTTGATACCAAAATAGGCCCCAAGGTAGAAAGTGAGAGCTACAGAAGAATTGCTGCCAGTATTGGGTGCGCCACCAACAATATCCTCTTCCTGACGGATGTCCCTCGAGGTAGGTGTCGTGACAGTCCTACTGTCCTCCAGACTTGTCAGAAGCTCCCCAGAAGTGCTGCAGACCACCTTGCTTCAGTGGCATCCCCATAGCTGCTGCCATGCTCCTTCTTTACACATCCAGGCTCTCGCACAGCAGTGGGGTATCTGTGAGCAGTGCTGCACTGTGATAAAATAGGTCAAGCAGAAACCCTGCCCTTGCACCAGCAAGCAAGGAGTCAGTGTTAAAGCAGAGCATTTGCTGAAGCAGTTGGCGTGCCCCACTTACAAACAGGGTCAGTGATTTTCATGACCTGTACTCTAGGGAACAGTCTGCTATGTGGCACACATGGTGCCTGGTTCTTAGTGCCATTTACCATTAGGTTGTGTTCTGCATCAGGAAGACATTGTTCCTGGTCAGTAGGACTTGACCCCTGGAAAACAAAGCTCAGGAACCTAATTTAAGTTCCTACCTTGGCTGGAAAGATCTTTCTGGCACAGATGGCACTGGGTTGCGATCTCAGTCTAAGCCAGCTCCACCCCCAGGAGTTAGCCCTTATCTCCTCCCCAGCCTCCAGCAGAGCTGGAGGGAGCTGCAGTTATCTCCCTTTCCCTATATTGTCCTCCTGTGGCCTCTTGCTGTGCTCAGGGACTGAAGGAGGCTTGTGAAAAGTGGCCCCCAGCAGGGATGGGGTGAGGTTGTTGGGACTCACTAATGCCATGGCCTAGCTTCTTCATGACGGCAACTGAGCTGCTGGTGTGTGCTGCCTGCACGGTGCCTTGGACAGCCATCAGCTGCCATCACAAGGCAGCCAGCTCCTGTCCACTCACATTACACAGCAGCTACAGTTGTCACAGCAGGTCAGCTGGGAGCTGGTTCTTCTCTACAGCCCTGCAGCGCAAATGCTGCTTTCTCAGTCTCAGCCTTTAAAAGCACTTCAGTATTTTGGGGCATCTTCAAACCATGACGACCTTCAGGTGGAAAGCTCAGTAAACACATCTCATCACTCTCCCCACCTCTGTTTCAGAAGCCAACGCAGCCGAGGAAGCGGATACTCACGTAGCTGTGGTGATCAGACCAGGCAATGCAGGACTGACAGACGATGAGAAATCCTATTACAGCCTTATCTCGTCTTTCACTGAACTTTTCCTGCCTTCCTCCACTTAGGGGAAGTGGTGCATGCACAAAAGACTCTGATTCACCTGAATTGTCCTTGTGTAATGTTAGGTAATTTTGTCCATAATCAGAATTTAAAGCCAAACCCACATCGTGTCTTGGACCCACGACTAGTGCAGGCAGGTATGGATGGAGAGTATGGTGTGGGGTCCTTTGTGCCGCAGGACGGAGGCCTGCAGCAGCCAGCTGGAGCTGGGAACAGGGTGAGGAGCAGCACCATGAATCCTGCTGTTCCTCCCTTTTCCCAGTTAGTTTAGGGGATGCTTTCTTCAGACTCGCCCATTTAAGTCTGGTGCTGAGATGCTCCAGGCAAAGCTGTGTCATTTGTAGAAGCAGTCTGCAAAGAAGGCGTTATGTCCCTTTGTTCTGGAGTGACCTCTAGGGACCATGCGGGCATAGGAGCTTTTCCCTGCAGACAGGGCTGATGGCTAAGGGAGAGCTTTCAAAGGCGGGTGAGGATGCCAAAGGAAAATGCCAGCTGTGGGCTATAGTACAGTAGGTTTGGACTGCTACAGAAAAAGCTAGCCCTTGCTGCAGCCAAGTTCAGACCAGTCTTGCCTATATCCAGAGCAAGTGTAGGTACAAAACAGGAGTTCATAGAGCTGTGCGGCCAGCCTACAAGAATGAAATAGAGTATGTATAAATACAGCTTTAAAAATTCAATTCTGGATCCACCTCACTGCTGCCTCATGGTGCTGGGATATGGGATCCTACTGGCTGCTTGACCATGTTTCTGAAGTATCTCCCTTAGCATTAACTTGTGGTGCTCCTTCTCAGTAGCAAACATCACCCTGTCACATGTTCATAGCACTGGTCAGCTGTGAGCAAACCTTGAAAAACAGCTGCTCCTGAGGGGGACATTCTGCTGTGTTTGATGAGAATGAAAACCCTGACATTTTTATCCACCCCATCAAAATTGTGCCAATTTATATCAGATGGTTATGGAGCTTTCCTAATTCAGAAATAAAACCCATTTATTTGCTTTTGTTGTGTTCGCTCCATCCCATTTAGCTTTCCTGCCTTATCACCAGTGATCCCAGCACCTGAAGGCAAATCTCTTGTTTCTTTTAAACCTATGAGCACTTTGTTTTTTTCCTGCTTTCACCCTCCCTGGTCCTTTCCTTAAAGCAATCCTGTCCTGCCAGGGAAGCTTGGCAATCTTACCGTTTTAGTAAGGGCTCAGTGGAGGTGCAGGAGCGAGAGCCACAGCTAGGTTATACCTAGCAATAGTGTAGGCAGAGGCAGTCTGAAACCCCAGTTCGCTGCTGCTGGCACTTCCTGCATGGTGTCACTTGCTACTTACTTCTGTGCAGCTGTGCTTGAGCTTTCCCTTGGGGACAGCCGAACTGTAATGCATGTGGTGCCTTCCTGAGCTCTGATCTGCACCTACAGCTGCTCCTGTTGGTGGAGGCTGCTGTGTAAAGAACAAGCAAGAGACATGCATTCTGGGAGGAAACCACCTAATGCCAGCGTTTCTCTTCTAAACATTCAATGGTAGCAGTTAAGGCAGATAGTCTGGATGCCCTTCTGGGCTGTGTAGTAGGATCCTCCTCTTAGAAAGAGCCTGCTAATTAGCACAGTGGCAATAAGTGCATGTGCATGGCTGAATAGTCCCTGGCTTCCTTAACGGATTAAATGTAATCATGACACTGTAAATACTCAACTTGTGTTTTGTCTTTGCCATCAGAAAGCTATGCTTTGGGTAGGGGACAAAAATAAAACACACTTTCTCCATAAAAGCACTTTATTTAGTGGTCGTGTTTCAGTGTGTATCAGCTGTAGTTCAGCTGTACTGAAATGTGCTGTTAGAAATACTCTTAAGAAATGTACAGAGTTATCACCAAAAACCTGAAGTTCACTTTGGATTGCATATAGGAAAAGGAGAGAAAAAAAAGGAAACAAAACAACAATCTTTTTGTTCCTCTGATAAAATTACAAATTATGAAATGATAAACTGAAAGTATTAATGGATTAAAAAAAAAGTCACAGTGGATTATTTACAGTAAAACACCCTTAAAACGAATTTCTGTTTTGTGCTCCATATACAATGAGTGTGTGTGCCCATGTAAGAGGATTCCCACCTGCATCTTTCTCCATCCTCTCCTGCCCTTGCCCAGGAGGAGCTCTGCAGCTGGGCTGCTGGGTACACTTGGGCTACCTTCTGCACATCCTTCCAGGAAAGCTTCCCAGTAAGGACACAGCCTCAAGGAAGAGGTCCTCAGCAGTGCAACAACAACTTTGTTGGCTGGAGATGCTCTGGATTTATAACACAGCTGCATGAGAACAAGCTTTGGCCCTCGGATGAAGGGGCTGGCTAAAAACTTCCTGCTTACACTAGTTTTGACACAAGTTTTTCTCAGCTGTCTCTCAGGAGAGGCCTTTGGCCTTTGCAGGAGACTGAATGCCCTCATGACTTTTCCCTCTCTGCTAGAAATGCCATATGCAGTATGGAGCTCCTGTTCAAACACCTGTCACCATTTTAATTTCTGCTTATTTTCCTGCAGCCTTTTCTGGGTCATCTTCAGAGCTCACAGGCATTCCCATCTTAATTCAGCACCTTACTTCCACCAGTAACCACCACTGAGTCTGAAACATGAAGCCAAGCACAGCACCCCACTGTGCCATCTCCTCTGGCCTGAGGACAGCCTGCCCAGCTGGAGGGCAGCACTGGCCAAGTCTTGCTTCCTGATCACAGCAGTTTCTCCCAAACCCAGCTTCCAGGCTGGACAAAATGCCTGCCTGCTCACCACAGAAGCCAGTCAGCTGGGGTCTTTCACTGCCTGATTCCAGGTCCAGAAGAAACAACCATTCTTTCTCACCCAACCAAGTTACACGAGTTGGCAGCAAAGAAAACACAAGAAACTCACAAAAGTTGCAGTCTGATGACATGGGAAACAGCGACTCCTGAAGAATCCTGCTGTCCAGAGAAATCAATTTTCTTCATCTCTTCCTCTGCAAAACAGGCTAAGGAATGCCCTGTCCTGGAGGGGCATCATGAGGACTGGCTGTTGAATGTTTTGAACAGCATGACACAGTCACTCAGAGTCATTGGTAGCAGGCTAAACAGCTTGTGCTCTCTCATGCTGCCATGGAGAAGGGTCCACTCCTCTTCCAGCAGACAGCTGTGTGGCTCCTAACACAACAGCCACCTTCAGAGGCCTTTGGCAATACAATCATGATTGCACACGAAAATAAACTCAAAGAAGTGTAAATGAGGTCATGTTTAACCCATGAGACCACACCTACCCCACTCCCCCCATCAGAGCACCAGCTACACCTGATCCGTCTGGTACTCAGAGGCTTCTGACAGGCTTTCAGAGAAGCTCAGAAAGTTCTCCTGATACTCAGAGCAAACGATTTCAAATCTGTAGTGCCTGAACTCTGCTGCGAAGGTACCAAAGAAGCACACAAGGCACATCACCAGGCCCCACTGGATCCTGGAGGCATGCATGTGAATGCCCTGTGCCATGAGGATAAAATCTGGAAGAGGAAAGTCAAGGAGAACTAATGGGAGCAGAGACACCAACTGGCATGAGAGAAAGCCAACAGGGAAGACAATCAAATCTTAACAAAGTCCCCTGGATGACAGTCAACCCATCCAGCAATCAGGAAAGCATGAACATGGAGGGCAAAGATGGAAGGGATGTCAGGTATCCAACAACACCCATGGAGAGCAGCAGCTCTCCTATACATACCAGGGCTTCCTGATCCCAATTCAGGCTGATAAACATTTACCCACTGGCTTGCTTGCACATCCAACTATCCAGTGACAGAGCCAGCAAGCTGGGGATCTGGCTGTGGACCCCTACCTGCCAGGAGCCTCCCAGCAGGAACTGGAACAGACCTCTGCACTAGAGGCAATGGGAGCACCTTTCAACCTGTGCAATCCTTCTTTCTCTTCACAGCACCTGCAAAATCATCCCTTTCTGTGAAATCTGGAAGCATCAGTCTACATTGTATGGCATGTTATGCTGACAGGAAAACCAACACTTGTCAGAGCCAGAAACTGTCCTCCAGGCTCATGTATACTTCTTGGATTGCATACTGGCTGGCATCAGCGTCTCGCTGCTTGCTGTGTCTTGGGTTGTGCTGGAGTACTCCATAAAAGCAAATCTCAGCTCCCCTGAAGCAGAGGACACCTTCCTGAGCTGGGGACCTGCTCTAGCCCAATGCTCATCTCTAAACCTACTGGCTTTCTTGTGTCAGGAGGTCCTCCACATTCCAAGAATGCAGGATCACACATCTTCACAGGTACAACAAACAAGTAAGTAAGCAGCCTCTCCCATGCTTTAACTGCACAATGCAGGTAATTGGGGACTTTTCTTCTTGGGCTTAGTGTAAGTGATGAAAGCTTTATTTTAGCAAACAGCATTCTGTGTCTGGCTTTAAGGATCTTCTGCCTTTGCTGTAGTGTAAGAGTTATGCACAAGCTGCATGGGATAGGGAGCCAGCTCCAAGCCCTTGCAAAGCCGGGGTTGGGAGGCAAGAATGGGAGCCAAGAAGGCCCAAGGCCTTCAGCACCAAGCAGGTGGCTGGGCAGGGCTGAGTGCACCCAGCATGTCAGTACAGGAGTAGCAACACCCTGGCTTACCTGGCTACTCCTGGCACAGACCTCAGAAAACGGCAGCAGAGCAGAAGCCCATCTCCTAGCATGCAGCCCTGCCTACCCCAACACATGTTGGGGGAGCTATGGGCTTGGGGCAAATGAGGAGGGGAGCACCACAAGAGTCAGGCAAAGTCCCACATTATGAATACCAAAGCATGATGCTCAGATACAAATTTTTCCAAGGAAGCTTAAGAGGCGATTGATGATACATCTTCATACCCATCTGCTATTCCTATGGACACTGGCTGAAATGTTCCAAACCAACTGAGTGACTAAGGAATTGTTTTATGAATAGGCTGTTACATGAAGAGGGGGATTAGCTTATTCCTCACCATTTATTCCTGTTTTCTTGTTTAATCCCAGAGCTAACGTTGATGCAACTATGCAGTGAATGGATCCACCTTAAACAAATACCCAGAGCACATGCTGCTGGTGTGAACTGAAGGGCTGGAGTGGGGCTGACAGGCACAAGGTGGAGAGGAAGCCACATGTACATCCAGTCTGAGTGACCCTAGACCCCACAGCCCATAATTCATAAAGCACCTAGGCTTAACCCAAGGTCCACATGACTCAGCAGCTCTAAACTGTGATAACTGTCTTAAAAAGCAGCAGAGCTGGATGCAGTACCAGGGAGCATTTCAACAAGCACATCAAAATCTTTTTGTCTTCAGAAACCTGACTTCTTCCTTCATTCCTTTGTTCTCCTGAGCATGTTTATCTCGGTATTTTGCATGATCTTAAATGCTACTGTGTAGGTAAGCAGCAGTGTTATTACATCACACAGATACTATTCAATATTGTAACCCCTTTGGATATTACTAAGTTTTAGAGATCTTTATGAAGTAAGAAAGCCCACCTATGAAGCAGTGTGTCCTGGAAAAACACAAGTACCAAAATGAGCCAATCATAGGATCATGCCATAAACACAAGCTGAGCAGCATTCCTTAATTCTTTGAGATCCTAGGAAGAGATGTGAGAAGAGCCAGCACTCCCTGCTGCAGCATGTGTCAGACATGTATGACACCCAGCTTCCCAGGGAGCGGGACAAAAGGATACAGAGCACCATGCAGAGGGTGATGCTGGCTGACAGGGCGACTCGTGGAATCCCGACTTTCCGCCCCTCATTCTTCAGGTTGATCTTGAGGGTGAGGGCAGACTGGATCCAGCACGCCAAGGTCCCAAAACCAAAGGTCAGTGATGTGCCCACAAGGTGGATCTCCTCATCACTGGAAAGCTAGGAACAAATAAAACAGTGACTGTTTGGATGCAACAGGGATTATTTGCTATCTACCTTGGATTGCTGCTGGGGTGGGATAAAGGAGAGTGGGAATCACTGGGGTTTGAGACAAAGATGCTGTACCATTTCTTCTGGCAGATGTGCAAGGTGTAACATAATCAAGATGAGCTGACAGCTGTTACAGTCAAGCAGATCTTCTGCCCAAGGCCCAAGCACAGTGGAAAACACAGTTGCTTGGTGACTGTCTCCACAGCTCCCTGACAAGATTCACCAATGCAGAGCTCAGAAATAAATCCTTCCCTGGCTTGATGCAATAGCCAGGATAGGCAAGAACAACCTGCTGTGGCCTTGTACAGGTCTATGCAATGGATGCAAACTGTGAATCCAGCCTCATGGAGCAGTGCTGCCTGGAGCAAAGGGCTCCCGTGTCTCACGGGGGTCAATGACTGTGCAATACTGCAAGGCAAAGGGACAGATAGGTTCAACAAGCAAGAATCTCCAAAGAGAACCCTTGAGGCTGTAATTCCATTCAGAAAGTCCAGCATGGACAAGACTTAAGCCAAACAATTTCCTTCTTCCCTCTGCCTCAGACGCTTTTCTAGAAAGTCTGTAACTCCTCCCTGCAGCCTTGATTCCTGTTTGGTGATTCAACAAATTCCCATCAAACAAGACACAATATGCAAGGTAACAGCCCAGTTACTGAGCCTTCGCTGATCCCTTTCCTTCCTACCTCGAGTTTTTTTTTTTTCAAAGGTATGTCCAAATCATAGCACAGGCAAAAATGGGATTGAGCTGCCCTTCCCAAGGTAGCCCACTACAAGGGACTCAGCCAACAATGTCCCTCTAACACATACAACCTGTAATTTTCTGGAAATATTATTTCATCAGAAATATGCCACATTCAGCTCAGCAGTCAGGCAGGAAAAAAACATGGACTAAGGTCTCATTACCATACACTTTCATGGCTTGGCAAAAAATATAAGCAGAGATACAGGTAACTAACAAGTAATTAGTTCAGAATTTATAACCAGATATGATTCAAAGTACCCACTTCTAAATCACAATTATTTGCTCTGAGGAATGAAAAAGGAAGGAGAGGTTGAAACTGCTTTCTAGTGCCTGCTTTGTACTAGAAATACTCTTCCCACATCTGGACAAAGCTGTTACAAAAGCCTCATAGCTCCTAGCTGGGAAGCTCTTGTTAAAAAACGACTTGTGCTGTGGAGTTAGGAAAATCAGGTCCAAAACAGTCAAATTACCTCACACCTCACTCAAAAAAAAGAAGCAACCAAACAAAAAGATGATGGCTGTAAAGGACAAAAAGTTCCTGCAATTGCTCCACGACCCAAACAGGTACTCACCCCCCACAAAACGAGTACTTTTTCTGTACTAGCAAGAGAAACAACTCCCTGCCTGCAAACCCAGGAAAGACAACAGCCTACACTGACCTATCTCTGTTCCTGCCATTTCTGGGGGTCATTACTTGCACATAATGAAAGAGACAGAGCATCAAAGACAGCAAAGGGATGGGGAAATCCAAGTGACACTGCCTTGATTTTCACTGCAGAACTAACAGACACCCATGATCACAGTGGACACCCAACCCTACAGAGCAACACTGTGGCACTGGCAGCTTGTCTGTGTAACACTGCAGAACAGATCGAGAATCAGAGATACTGCATTGAGGCGCCTCTCACATTAGTAAAAGTCCCTCTCGTGGCCAGTCTGAGGACAAGCAAGAGATAGATTTAAACGTATTTCAGAGGAAGGACACACAACTATTTCCCCTGTACGGGCACCTGTGCGTCTGTTGGCACAGATGCATACATAAACTCAGTCTTTTTACCTAGGACCATCTGTGCCAACACCCAGGGCTCAAGAGTTTGAATAGGTTCTCTGTCCGGCTTTTGGCAGGTCAAGTGCAAGCATGCTGATGCAAATCCTGCCGGGAACACATGAAAAATGACTGTGGCCCTTCATCTCAGCATGCTAGTGGAGCCACAGAGGTGGCAGAGCAGCTACGAGAAGGGCTGCAGCACAGCCAGACACATGATCTTCTGAGCTCACATCACAGGTAGTTCAAAGGCCTAAGCAGATCACCTAGAAAGGCAGATCCTCACAGCAAAAGGAACCTCAGAGTACGGACACAGCAGCCCAAGCCTGGAGTGGAGTACCTGGAAGTTGCCGAGTAGGGTCATCCCAAAAGAGGCCGAGCATAATGCCACCAGGCCGCTGACATTCAGCCAAGGGTTTAGCACCTTCGGCTTCAGCTGAATGAAGCGCAGGATAGCCAAAACAAGTACTGAGAAGGAAACAGAATGCAAGGCGTGTCATTAGGTAGAACATGCAGCAATAACCCACCTGGCTGGGAACTCAAAAACCCCTCACCCTCTTCCCACCCAGGGGCAGAGCTCAGTGCACGCTAGCTAACTGAGTGCTTCTGCATGGCCCTCTCCTGCGTAGTCATGGATGAGACTAAGCACAGGAAGCATTGCTCTTGTAATCCAGTTACACCAAGCTCCCATGTTTCCTTTTCCCATGATGTTTTTTGTCTAGGATATGGGTTGCAAATTTTCTGGGGGAAAGAACACCACCTTCCTATTTGCCTGTGGAGTTCCCAGCACATAGGCTATCACATATATACCATGCAGCCACATCACAGCAGCTCGGCTTGAATCAAGTTTCACTCCACTCATGAGCTCTCTTGTGGTAGGTACATCAAACTCCACTTGCATTAGAAAATGTATGGATAACACACACATATTTCTGCAGGTTTTGCCAAAATGCCCACTGCCTCTTCTCTTCTGGACTGCGTCCCTGGTGCCATGAACATAAGCCAAAATATGGCACTAATGTTCTGGGAAAACTGGAAGAGCAGTCCTTCCAAGCTTATAATTAGCCCAAGCACTCTGATAAGTTATATGATACATGATATGACATGATATGATATAACCCCAGGAGATATTCACATCATATATTCTTGCCCTCCCTAAGGAATGCTGCATGGAACAACACAGAAAGCCAGGCAATCATTTGGCCTTCAGATGGGATTCAAACCAGACCACTAAAAAGCAATACAGATGAACAGGGAAATTTACTGGTTGCTGCCAAACACCTTCTTATGCTTATGCTCAAACACACAGCATGCAGGTCATATTGTAAATTGCCTGTGTGAATCCCATCAGGCCCCATGGACTTGTAAACATTCAGCCGATACAGCTAGTCCATTACAATTCTAGCATCCACAAATGGAGAGTCACCATTCCTGTACTGACTCAGGGGACCATACAGCCCAAGGTCCATCAGTATTATTAAAGACTGAGGCAAAAAAAAAACAGTGAATGTCTCTGCTTTATCTTAATCTATTAGTCAGGTGACCATCTTCAACAAGTATCAGTCCCATGTTTTCTTTAGACCTCTTGCTATTAACATACTTTAAAAAGCCCCTCTTGTCATCTAACACATCATTAGCCAGTTTCAACTCTGAGTTTTTGCCTTCCGTGTCTTCCCCCTCCATATATGAACTACAGCTCTGTAATCTTCCTGCAAAGCCTGACCTTGCCTCCAGAGACCATACAATTTCTTCTTCCTCTTATGCACCACGAGGAGTTCCCTGTTCAGCAAAGCTGGTCTTCTGCTCCACTTGCTTCACTTATGACACATTGGGATTGCATGCTCCTGTGCTTCTAAAGGGTGATTCTTAAAAACTGACCAGCACTGATGGACTCCTAAACCCTCAAAAGCAGATTCCCAGGGTACTCTTCTAAACAACTCCCTGAACAGTTTAAAGTTTGCTTTCTTGAAATCCGGTGCTGCAATTCTGCTGTCCTTTTTCTCATTACAACACACTTTGAACTCAACCATTTCATGATCACTATGGCCAAGGCAGCCACCTACCAGCAAGTCTCCCACAATACATTTGCAGTCTGGAGGTTCCCTGGTTATATTTCTTCTTGTCATGGGAAGAAGCAGCAACAAAACTGTACAGTACAGCTTAGCTTCATAAAGCTTCTGTTTACCTGCCTTCTTCACACCAGCTGCTCTCCTCACACTCGTGACTGCTACCCTCATGTCCACACAATGCACATGTTGAATGATCATCAAGCCAACTCCTGACTTTTCATAACACGCTTGGACTTGCTGGGATTTGGTGCAGGTCCACAAAGGCTGCATGAACAGAGTGATCTGCAGAAATGGGGCCTTACCTGGAAGCAGCTGCAAAGGCAGGCATGTACTTACTGCTGTCAAACAGCTACATTAATGTAAGAAGCAGCATGCTATGCACATGTTGTTTTAAGTGGTTTGGGGGGCAGAAGTTTAAATCATATCATGGTAATTACATTGCACTGGGTGTCAGGCACACAAATAAGATGTGTGCAAGACCTGGCCTTAGCACAAACTGAAGCCAGAATTATTTCTACTAATTGAGACCCTGGCTCAATATGTACATCAGGATCTAAGTTTGAAATAAAGCCATACACAGAAACAAGGTGTAAGGATGCCTGAAGTCCACTCTCAAGTGATACTTGAAACAAGGAAATTCATGTAAAAGTTCATGACTAAACATTTTACCAGGTTTTACATCTGAAGCCTCATTTTCATTATGTCAGATTAAGACTGGTAAAGTATCTTACTAGTGCACATACAGGTCTGGATTAATTTCAAACTCAGCTGAATTGAATTTCCCAGGTTTCTGAGAAGAAACACTGTGCCTTTCACAGGCAGCAAGGGTGGAATCCATACTTTGACAGAATAGCTCAGAGCAAACTGTAAATCACCTCATACAGGAAAAGACAAATGCAAGTATTACTAAAGAAGAGCAAATCATGGAATGAGTTATTTGCCTTTTAAGTTTGGGATAATTTGCTCAAAATACGTACAGGTGAAGGTAACAAACAGTTTTAAGAACCAAAAACAGACAACTTTTTTCAAGTACTAGTCAGATATTTCTTGTCTTTATGGTGTTTCCCCTCTCACTTCCACTGCTGGAAAACGTCAGTGAACTTTCACAGATTAAGTAACAGAATTTAGGAAGGGGTGAGAGAGGACTTCAGTATGGATGCTGTTCTGCATAATCAGTTGCCTCATTTGTTGATATTCCCATGCAATTATCTCACATTTACAGATTACAACAAAGCCCCAACGTACAATGAAAAACACAGATTCAAGACCAAGGATAAATCAGAATAAATCAGAAACCAATAAAGCACAAATGCATCCAGCTTCATTCTGCCTTTCTACAAAAGAAGACAAAAATGATACCATCTTAATCAGTGGTAATTGCAGTTTAAATTATTTCACAACATCAAGAACATGTATGGGATATCACTTATGTTTCAGTGACTTCTTAAAACAAATGATGAGAGAGAAAGAGACATTTCCCTGGTGGTTCCTACCTAGAAATGCCGCCATGTTCATGACTTGGCTAAACACGCAGCTTGCAGGAGGTGCGTCACCTGCAATACTTGGGAAATACAAAGTGTGTCATGGTAACTCTAGATGGCAAAGACATAAATAACAGCCATTAGTCAGAACAGTAATTGGAAGAAAAATCATCCGCTTACCTTATATAAGGTGGTCTTTTGGAACCGGGTGTCCTAAGAGAGATAGATGCATAGGAACAAAGAGTCAAGATTTTCTTTGCTATTTAGCTTTCACTGGTTTATTATTCTAAAGAAACAAGTGACTGACCGTAAAGCCCACAACCAGTTCTTACCTATCCAGTACATTTAGTGGGATAATTTTGTTATCCTCCACTGCTATAAAGTACCTGAAAAGAAAAAAAAAACAAAACACAAAACAACAAAAGATGAAAACAGTGCAAGACCTCATCCTGGCTTCAATTCCAAATATCCCTCAAACAATACATTAAGTGTCTCAAAGCCCACTGGCAGGACCAGGTGGAGGCAGCCTGTGTTCCTCTGTTCAAGCAGGCAGTTTTGCTCACTTCCCAGCCTAACTATGCACCTTTCTTTGTCTTGCATGTTTTGCATGGTCAGGTAGACAAACAGGGTCATTGAATTGAGCTGCCTTAAAAATAACCAACCAGGTGAATGTTTTCATTTTTAATCTGAAGAATTTGATCCACCTGGTTTACCTTGGTGCCTCAGGAAAAAGCTGTTTTAATGCAGACAGCATGGGACAAGAACAAGCAACAGATCAAATAAATGGCTTAAGTTGCCCCCACTGCTGAAAAGTAACATCCACAGGACAGTCAAAGTCATATCCTACAATATAACTGCTTCTCAAGCTGAGCACAGCTGCTGATTGCACATTTATCACTCCCAAATTCATGCTGCAGTGGTCTGCCTTCATGCTTGGAGAGACCCCACCTCAGGAAAATGCATGTCTCATGGGCATTTTTGTACAAAGCCTTAAGTGAGAAAGTGAGGTGTCAGCATTAAGATGCTGGCAGGTTGCCACTGCAGTGCTGGATGCTGTAGATTTTGAGTCTGCACCCCAAAGCAGGGCCTAAGTGTTTCTCCATGAGCTTTGCCCAGTCATTTAAAGACAGCATGACGAAAGGGGATTTTTGCATTTTTGTCTGTCTCTTTTCAAGCAGCTCCCACCAGTAACATGGGCCAGGAAGAAGGCAAGGTCAGAATCTTGGCCTGGGGAGCACAGTAACTCAGCAACAAAAATATGATCCTCCAGGCCATGAACTGGTACAGACTGGTCCCTGCCCCTGTCATTTGCCTTCCCAACCCACAATAACTCAAGGACAGAGCATCCCCAAAAAACTCTCCATATGCAGCCCACACCACAGCAGTACTTCCAACTGCCCCAGCTTCATTTGCTCTCTCAAATTACCAGCAGAAGATAACTTACACTATCCATAATCCAGCTGATGTAAACACAGTAAACACAAGAGGTAAAAACATCCACACGCTGTATTTCTTGCCATCCATACCTGCTAGAAACAAAGAACAAAGTAAAAACAAAAGAAAGAGGGCAGAGTTACCCACCCATCTCACACACACACCACTTTGAAAGCAGGAAGAGCATCCACACATCCACAGGTGCTGAAGCATTCCAAGATCAAGCTCCTAACAGGCAGCAGGCGCTGCAAACATTTCATACTGTTATTACTGCCATAAGGGGTTAAGCTGCTGCACACTGGCAGCATCATCTGTGCTGTGCATAAAAACCAAGGCATAGAGCCTAGAGTTGTGGAGGGGGAGACTTTTCAGACATACCTACAGAATTTGAGTGGCTTTCTAAGTATTTTTCTCCAGCATTTTCCACAAGGTGACACTGCAAGACCCGCAGCACTAAGTCCCTGCTACTTTCCATAGGCATAAGGCAAAGCAGCCTCCTTCCCAGGATCATTACCGATTCCACACATGCTGCCTCAGCAAAGCCTGCAGCATGAAGAGAGAAGGATGCACGTGCCGTTTCCTCATGTCCACAAAGCACATGATCTGCTCCCATCCTGGTTGCAGCAGTCAGCTAAAAATAGCCTTCAGCCACATCCAGAGCAGAGCCAAGCTCAAGTGCCAGCACCCAAAGAACTGTCAGGACAAGGCGTTGCAAACAGGATCAGCTCTTGACATGTAGGCACTGTGAAATCCTGCAAGGGGCTAGGGATGCTGCATACACCACCTCCTGAGGAAGCATTTGTCCTCCAGGCAAGACTACTCAGTGAGCACCTGAGACGCAGGGGCTGTTCCTGTGACATGTGCAATTCAGAAATGCTGCTGTGTTGCTGTGCTGTGGTCAGAGTCCTGTGCCTCCCTGACAGTTCTCTGACAACAGATCAAATATTTCCTCATGCTCTGTCCTCCTCCGTAAGTGTTCTTCCAGGCACTGGCATAGCCAAGAGACATAGAGAGCAAACAACGCGAGGCTCAAGGCTCCAGCACCTGCTTTAGTTTCACCACAGCAGCAGCACCTGCACCCCTGCATTCTGCAGCCTTCTCTCTCCTGCAGCCTGCTGTAGGGCAGGCATTCCCTGGGGTCACTGTGGTCCACACAGGACAGTGAGGCACCCTGGGGTGTTAAGGCAGCTCAGGCATGGTGGCCTTTCACTACAGCCTGCTTGTATTTGCAGCTCAGTTGTCTCATCCAGGTCCTTAAAGCAATGACTCTTCCATTTGCTCCAGAGAAGAAAAGAAGTTGTCCTCCTCTCAGTTCTCCAGGCCTTCCTATATCTGCTGCACGGGAACCATGGTCTCTCTGGGCTGTTACTCTGCTCTCTCCCCTCTGTGATTACCCACAGAAAAGAGTGAGCATCCTCACTGTGTCACAGCCAGCTCCCTAGCTCACCACTCCCACAAGACAGCCATGGGCTGCAAAGGCAACACTGGCCTAACACTGCTTGGGTCCCACAGAGGCAGAGACTGAAGGAACCGAGGTCAGGCTCCTCAGACCCTTCAGAAAGCAGGGCAACATCAGGTTTGCCCCTACAGGTCTTCCCTGTACATCACCTGGCAGGCACACAGAAGAACACCCTTGCAGTACCCTGAGCCACACTACACTTGCAAAAAACCATGAGGCCACGGTTTGGTACTATCTGTACAGATAGCCTCAAGTGAGGCTGAACTGCAAATATTAAAAGACAGAAAAGCAATCAGATAATGTTTCCTCCCTGGCTTGGGAGCACAGAGAACTGCAGACAGGGAGCATGAAATGATGTAAGTATTAAGTACATCAATTTAAAAGGCAGTCAGCTCCGACATGAATCCAGATTTTTAGCACAGTGTAACAGGTCAGAGGAAATTATCAATGAGGGTGGACTCATCTCATCTCTATTTGTTTTCTCCTGCACAGGAGACACAAAGCATTTCATAGCTCTGTTCCCCATACAGCCCCTGCTGTAGCAGTTGCAATTACTCTGCAAAGTGCTGCCCCTGCACTTATGCAGCCCATCAACATGCAGCAGCATCCCTTATCTGGTGTTACTGTTGTTCTGGTACTGGGAGACCTGGACCAGAAATGTCCTGGACCAGGTGCTGTGTCCCTGGCAGTACAGTCCCCAAATGCCAGTACACACGGCAGCCGCAGCCATAGCCAAGTTCCCCATTCCTGTCTTGGCTGAAAGGAAGTGGACAGGTCACCTTCTGTTACAGCCCACGTTTCCTCTGCAACGTAATTGCTGCTAACCAGTGCTCAACACTCCTTTCTCTGGTGGTGGATGGACTAAGCCAAGGTAACACAATTCTTTCAGGTCAGGGGATGGCAGATCTTATGATTTATCCTTCCTCTTTGGAAAGGTACAAAGGATTCATTTACGCAATAAAAGCAAATACTAGCCGTTACACTTGTCATCATTAACCGAATGCCACAGCTCCTCCATGTTCCAGCATGCCTCCCAGACAAGAAACAGCAGCCTCTGAAAGATATTTCATCGTTGTCTGTCATGAAGAGAGGAAGGTGGCACAGGACTTTTATGGGGCTTTTCCCCCAGGCGAAGCAGCAAGTCAGCACACAGAGAGGGAGATTCCAGACCAGGATGAGGCAGAGAAATGTAAAAACGCTGTCCATTTAACCATTACTCTCTGCTGAGCTCTGCAATGGAGCAGGGGTAGGTCTGGAGCTCAGCCTCATCAAAGTCAGTGCGACATAGCCACAGACTCCCTTGGAAAACAGCCCTGTGTTCAATATTCACTATGCCATACAGAGTCCCCTTTATTGACCACTAACAGAAAATGACATCCAAAATCACTGCATATTAATCGTCTAGCCTTGTATGGTCTTCCATCAAAGAGAAGGACACTCTTACAAAGCCTACTACCTGTGGACCTTGCCGTCACCATCCTAGCTAGCTAGGCCATGGCAGTTAAACTTCAGGTGTAAAGGGTGGAGCCAGTTCTGCGCAAGCTGCGCCTCACCTAAAACATCCACTGCGCAGGCCAGAAGAGCTTACTCTTACTTGTCTGCATGGGCGGGCGAGGGTCTAAACGGTAGGTGACAAGGTGCATGGGAAGCTGCAGATCCAACCTTGCATGTGGGCGGACCAGAGCATGGGTAGCTTGAGTTAGCTCAGGAGTTGACAGTTGTGGTCAGACACTTCCTGATTACCTAAGCAGCCTTTTTTCCAATCAGATTTGGATATCCCACTTGCCCTTGGTCATCGTGCTTGTAGTAAGCGTGGTTAAAGCCCTTCCCAAATCTTCACTCGCGAAGCCAAGCCATCGAATGACTATGGCAGAGCTCAGCACCCCAATAGGAAGCCAGGTCCATAGTTTGGAGCAACACATTCATTTCAACTGGTTAAAAAGAAACACCTAGAGAACACATTCCTTGCGCACCTCTCAGCATGGCTGGGCTCACACCAAAGAGGAAGGACAGCACTCCCAGGGAGTACAACAGTGACCTCTGTGGAGCCAGGTTTTCACCAGAGCTCAGCGCAGCCAGGGCTGGGATGTTTTGGAAAACAGGCACTCCACATCAGGCCAGCCAGCCATACAGGTTGCCGAGCTCTATGTAAACCTGCCTCTCACAGCAGCAACAAGAACTGACCAGGAAAGTATGCTGCCACTATGCACCCTCCTCCCACAGGCTCCACATAGAATGGGTGCAGGACAGCATGAGCAAGGACTCTCTGGCATACCCTTGGAGGAGAGCAGGCGAGCAATGACTGGACCAACAGTGTTGCTGGCCCCTGGCAGCCCACATGGGAGTGAACTGCCTGCATCTAGTGGATGAAATACCAACAGAAGGAGAGAAGGGTCCCTTTCCCCCATGTCCCCAAATAGCAACACCTTCCAATGCTATTGACATATCCCACATGTGCTTGAAGATGTTTCAACATACCCACGTGGGCAGAGGAAGGTTTAAACCCAGGACTCAGCTCCTGCACATTTCTCATTTACTCCTTCCTGTGTTACTGGAGTGCCAAGAGCAAAGTTACATGTAACCTCACTTCCTTTCAAAGAAGCAGCCCCAAGCACATGCAAACCTGCCTACTTTTGCACTAGTGCTCAGCGGACATCATTCTCAGCAGTTCCCTTCAGATTAACCTCTCCTCTTCAGGGGTGACTCTGATGTTCTTGTCTTCAAGCTGGGAAACCTCCGTGCATGCTAAGACCAGCACCTCTAACAGCAGACAGAAATAAGAGCACAAGGAACCCAAATGACAGCCTTGCCTGCAGCACCAGGGCAGTTTAGCCAAAATAAAATGCTGAGAGCTATAGGAAAAATAACCTAAATTCTCTGTGGGAAACACAGAAACAATTTCTTTGACAGCTAATTGCTCCACAGGGATGACATAAAGCCAGCCTTGCTCTCCACAGCTCTGCTCTGCATTGCTGTCATGACCAGTGATGCCAATCTGAGCAGTCAACTCCAGCTGGCGACAACAGCCATTTTTCCTGGCCCATGTTTTCCCAAATAAACCCACTGTGCCCAGAAGGCAGTTGGTAATTGCACAGACCCATTTGTCTTCCATTTTTAAGGCTTGCTCAGTAAGCTTTCAGTGACAGAAAGCCTTCGTGGTGCAATGGATCCCCAAGGCTAATAAAAATACATTTTCAGATTCATAGAACACCCCAGCTAGAGACAGCCCACCTTCCCAAAATCTACCACTGGTTTTCCAGTCTCTCTTAACTCATGGTCTCACCCCAGAATTGCAAAAAAAACAACGAGGTTCACTCCTGCTGCCAGTTATAATGGGTCAGGGTGCAGAACTGCAAAGGGTTTCACATCAGCACTGCCACAGGGTGTGTCTTGAGAATTTCTTTTAATACAGGCTTATTCCCTTATCTCTAGTCCCATTTTTATCTCTACATCTGTTCAGATTGTGTCTACTGTTTGCTCTGCTTTTATTACCATTGCCCCACTACACCCCCTCGACCAATTAAGCTCCCATTCCTCTAATGTACGCACTTCAATTACAGCAGGCAGCTCACCAAACATGTACTGCCGCTTGCTCAAGGTTCATTTAATGTTGGCATCTTAATTTCATCTGCC